ACAGTTGCTGAGACAGTGGTGTGTAGAAGCCTGGATTCAAGTCCCCCAGCTGCTCCCTTTACTAGGCTGGATGGCCTTAAGTAAGTCACTTACCTTGCTGATTCTCAGCTTTTCATCTATAAGATGAGACTGACAATGTCTGGATCAAGGATATACACTGGTTTTGTTCACTAAAATCTTGCGCAAACATGAGATGTAGTAGAAAGGGGAAGGGGTGAGGACCAAGGAGAGGCTGTCATTGATTCAGGGTGACACGTTCTCTCACCTTGGCAAGGAGTACCCAAGGCATCTCTATGAATAGACTCTATGGAGTCAAACAGACCTGGGTTCCACTTCTGGCTTTGCTGTATTAACCAATAACTTGGCCTCTCTGAGTCTTCCTTCCCCTATTTAAGATTCCTCCTCACAGGGCTCTTGTGAGGATTAAATAAGGTGGGGTATGTAAAGTCTGACACTGGTAATTAGAGGCTCTTCTTACCTTGATGGTTCGGGGGGAGGGGGGTGTCTCATTTACCCACAGTTCAGGGGTGGTCGTACCTTTTAGGGTTTTTCTACCTGTACAAAGCCCTGTCACTCTACCACATGTTCAGGCTTGGCTCTTGGCTTCTAAAACAGTTTCCATCTGAAATGTTTCAGCTGGGGAAAACGGTTGGTTTTTGCCAAATTTCCTCTGTTCTTACTAGCTTGGAGAAGTGAGCCCATCCCTTCCAGCTGTAAATTGCATTTCAAAGCCTGTGTCTCTGGTGGGTTTTAATTAGCTTAAGGGCCCAGCTTTTATGCAGCAGTTGTTCCTCTAGCAGGTAAAGATGAAGACACTTGGGAGTCAGTCCCTAGTTTTCCTTTAAAAAATAGCGTATCTGGATTGCCGCCTCCCAGCTCCTCACTGTCTGAGGGTTGTCTCTCACCGGCCCAAAAGGAGAAGTAGGATGAAAGAATCCTAGACTTAGAGGACCCATGGGGTTCTTGGCCCTGCTGCTCATGGGCTGGGGCGTTGTGGCCAAGTCCATTCCCGTGCTCCTCAGAGCAAGGGCCTTGTTCACTGAAGTCCCTGCTAATCTGACACTGCAGAAGTCTCTGGAAATAAGTCTGGTTCTTTCTTCCTCTCCCCACCACCATCAAGAACAGTCCCTCTACCCACCTCTCCTTGGCTCATTGCTAAGCATGGGGCCTCCAGGGGCTGCAGACACCTAGCTCTCAATTACACAGCTAATCTGTGAGGCAGAGCTTGGCCCAGGGGGAAATAGCTTATCAAGTCAAGCAGCTTCTGCTGAATAGGATGTCAATATTTTCTAGGGCTCCTACTGTAAGCTAGGGGGAAGCCTGGAAAAACCAAGAAAGAATTGTGTGGGGAAGATTGAATTGGGGTGGTTGGTCTGTTGGGGGAAGGGGGGTGTTTGGGTCAGAGACTCTAGTCTTTTAATGAGATGCCTGGGACCCTCAGCCCCCAGTGGTGTGTGCACACTGCCCCCCCCCACCCTTAAGGTAGGGCTGTGCTTCTGGGACATTATTCTTACTGCTTCCTCCCTAATATTTATTGGCCACTTACTGTGTTCCAGACTTTGTCAGGCTTGCCTCTCAACATTTGCAGGGCAGAACAAAGAGTACAGAAGGAGACTTTACATACTATATGTCTAAATATTTGAAGGTTATAAGTGAAGCGAACAAATTTTAAGGTTCGTAACAACCTGGAAGGCCATGTCTGCATTTAGAATTCTTGACTCTTTGGGATTCTGTACCTGAACCTAGCAGTTCCAGAAGAGCTAGTCTGGGCACACTTTTCATTTCCTACCCCCAACTTGATCTCTCACTTTCAGGAGTCTCATAAACATGTTTAAACATGGAAACTTTTCCATATCTCCACAGATAGCTGTCCCTTTGGGCTTAGGGAGTGTGCACAAGAGCAGCACAGACTGCCCTTGGAGACTGCCATTGAAAGCAGGTTGAGGGCTGATTAGATGGGCATAGGACGGGGTTGGCGCCTGGAGTGCGCTTCAGGTGGACCTTTCTTGTGGCCCTGCAGATGCCTCACCCGGGATGGCCACAGGCCTACATTTCCCCCGGTCTCTTCTCTGTTGTAGCCTTTTTGTGACATGGCTTCTGGCTGCCTTTTCTTGACATTGTTCAGAAGGTGCTCCAGTCTGACTTTGACCCTCATTTAGAATGAGCCTCATCAATGGCAGTGTTACTAGAACAGAGAAGTTCAACTATGGATTTGTTGAACTTCTGGGAGTGGGCCAGGAAGTGTAAGTACCAGTACTTAACGTTAGGCCTTTCCTGTTCCTTCTGGAGCTGTCCTCTGATGTAACCTGTCCAGGGTCAGGGGTAGGAGATATTTGTACAGTCCCTTGGGGTAAAAGACATCCCTACAATAAGAAAAGTCCTTTTTATGTACATTGTCCCAAACCCCAAGTGACAAGAGAAAAGACTGAGTATGGCCAAACTTGAAGATACTCACCAGCTAAGGAGTGAGTGCTGATCCTGCTGTATCACTAAACACAGGTGTCAGCAAATGCTTCCTGCTGAGTTGGTGGTAGAGACTCCTGCCGGAGGTCTGAGGGAACCCAGCACCTGTCATGTCCCTGCCAGGTCAGTGGCAGAGATAGTAGTCATCAACAGGTCTAAACCATCATCCCCCTCTCTCTCTGTTTTGGTCTACACCCCAGGCCAGTGGTTGGTTCCCTCCAGCCAAAGTAGGTGGCCTTTCCCTGAGCAAAAGCTTCATGGCTCTGAGCTGAACCAACCAGGAGAGTTATCTGATGGCCATGGAGGAGCCCCACAAACTTATTTCTTATATCCATGGATGGACAAGAAATTAACTTTTGAATGGCTTGTCATCCAGGTAGGAGAGGGATTATTAGAGAGGACTGTGAGGAATGGGAGGCCCCAGGGAACCCGCATACATTAAGCATTTTCTGCACATGGACAGTATTGTTTGTTTTTTTTTTAAGATTTTTATTTATTTGAAAGAATGAGAGAGCGCGCATGAGAGTGGGGAGGGTCAGAGGGAGAAGCAGACTCCCTGCTGAGCAGGGACCCTGATGTGGGACTTGATCCCGGGACTCCAGGATCATGAGCTGAAGGCAGTTGCTTAACCGACTTGTTTTCATGGGTGATATCTTTTGTGTTCCTCACTGCTTAATAAATGATGATTGGATGCAAAAGTAAACTGAGTAACAAAAAAGAGTCTGTCCCTTCCAGATCCTTTCCAGAGCTGGCACCAATCCCTTCATCAATAGCAGTGCCTTCCTAGCCCCTTTTACTTGGGATGGCACACACTTGACCCCAGTATATCCATGGAGCTACTGCAAGCCCGCCATAGGAGTAGGTTTCTTCCTCAGAATCATTCTCAGGGCCAGCCTGTGGTTTCCTTGCAGTCAGTGCCATCTGCTGGTCAGAACATGCCAGCTTCCAGGCTGGAAGGATTGAAGAAGAACAGGGTCTCTTACCCTAGTGGAACAAAAGATAAGGCTTTCCCAGTTTATACTCTGCACTGCTCTAATTCTCTGTCAAGAAGCTCCCTCTACCCTCAAATACTAGGTTAGTAGGCAGGGGTTTACCGTTAGCCTAGGCTGATGAGAGTTTTTATACATACTGCTTGGGGTCTTCAGCACCTTCTCTAGTAGCTCTCAGCAGGGGTATTGAAATAGGAGTGCTCTAAAAGGGAGTTGTACAAATCCATGCCAGTGAGCAGAAGGCTGGGCCTGGAAGTGTAAGTACCAGTACTTAATGTTAGGCCTTTCATACGGTCATCAAGCCTCCTTTTCTGTCCTTCTGGGGCTGTCCTCTGATGTAACCTGTCCAGGGTCAGGGGTAGGAGACATTTGTACATTCCCTTGGGGTAAAAGACATTGCCAGAGTGTGGAGAGCAAAGAGTAGGTACAATATGATCTCTAAGCAAACAACAAAATTTGAATGAGTCAGTATTAAAAGTGGGTAACTCTAAAAAATTAATTTATTAAAAACAATTCTCAGGTAAATATGTTTACTTAACTGTAGTATTTAAATTGGCTTTAGCTCTGGCTTTAAGTGATAGAGCTTGGGGGCGGGGTCGAAAAATGGCGGTAGGGACCAACTGACCGTGGGTTTGAGTGCTCATTCCTGGCAAGTTAAAGAACTTTTGGCGTCTGTTTTCTGGTAAAATATGAACAATAGTAATACTATTTATAGGGTCTTGTGGTTACTCAGTATTACATGTTACCCTTAGCCTGCAGTGAGTACTCAATGAGGCTTGTTTAGCTCACCTTTTTAAAAATGATTGGTACCGGGGCACCTGGGTGGCTCAGTTGAGCATGTGCCTTCAGCTCAGGTCATGATCCCAGGGTCTAGGGATCAAGCCCCACATCAGGCTCCCTGCTCAGCGGAGCCTGCTTCTCCCTCCCCTCTGTCTGCCGCTCCTCCTGCTTATGCGCTCTGTCAAATAAATAAATAAAAATCTTTAAAAATAAAAAAATAAAAATGATTGTACCAGTAAAGACAGCCAAAGCTAGGTCAATGTCTGGATCAGACTGAGCAGTTTTCATAATGTTGTAGAGCAGGTATTACTTGCAATTTCCATGTGACTTCTTTGCCATGGTTCTACATTAAAGGAACAGAAGAAAAATGATGGAAGGTCTTCAAATTTAGATACTGCATGGGGTAACTTATTTCAGATAAGCATTAAAGAAGGAATGGGTTTAAAAGAATTAGACTCAAGCAGACCAGGGTTCAAATCTTAGCCCTGTCGCTCACTAGCATCATGACCCCTGAATGTGCATTTTCTCCCTTGTGAAATGGCCTGGTTTTGCTTGTCACGTCAGTACCAAATGAGGGAACATACATAAAGCACCTGGCCATGAGGTCAGCAGTCCAGTAAGCTATAAAAAGGGGAGGCTGGATGCTCTAGGGATGTATGTGTAGCAGGGCAGAAAGCCATCCAGTTTAGCCATGATGTGGGCCATGGGTAGCCCTTGAGCACAACTGGGGGACCCAGCTTCATAGTGGCTCTCTCTCTGCAGGTGGCCACCATGTCCTTGAAGATCCAGACAAGCAATGTAACCAACAAGAATGACCCCAAGTCTATCAATTCTCGGGTCTTCATTGGAAACCTCAACACAGCTGTGGTGAAGAAGTCGGATGTGGAGACCATCTTCTCCAAGTATGGCCGCGTGGCCGGCTGTTCTGTGCACAAAGGCTATGCCTTTGTCCAGTACGCCAACGAGCGCCACGCCCGGGCAGCTGTGCTGGGAGAGAACGGGCGGGTGCTGGCCGGGCAGACCCTGGGTAAGCATCTCTCCTTGGCCCTGCTGCTCCTACTCTCCTGAGCGGGTTCTAGCCTTCACTTTCTAGCTTCTCTCTTAGGCCCCTTTCTGTTTCCCTTGCTACTACCCACTACCCCTATCTGAAATGTTAATCACTATTAAGTAGTTATAAAATCTGCCTGTAGGGAGTATTTCAGGAGCTTATCAAAATTGCTTCTGTCTTGTCTTTGCATTCGTGGTGACTCTTAATGACAAGCTTTATGGTTCCAGTTAAAATGCAGATTCCTAAGAGAAAAGGAACAGAGTGGACTAGCATAGCCTATAACATTGGGCTACGGATGGCTTAGGTTAGAACTCTTTATGAGAGCCAGGAAGAGGGGCTGGAGCACAAGGTGAAGCAGGTGCCTTTGGCCTTGGTGCTGTATATATATGATGCGACCATGTGGCAGTCTACCTTGGAGTGTGTACAGTGCACCTACTTCTGTGTATATGTATGTTCGAGAAGGGATATCTATGTGATACCTGGATGTAACTAAGCATGTGGGGAATATGTGGACACATCTTTAGTATATATATATGAAAAATGTGTGTGTCAGAATATGCTAGTGTGTGTAAGCAGATATTCGTATTTATTTACCAAATATTAATTGAGATCCTGTCATATGCTAAGCATCATTCTAGGTATAAAGATGTTCGGTAGAACATTTGTTTGAATGTGCTGTGGCTCATCTGTATATGGACAGTTCTGTATATGGACATCGGAGTCAAGTACTTGGGAGTATATGTGTTATTTTTGTGTGTGACTTGATTACCTGGATACATGAACATGTGTGTGAAGATACGTATTTGAAGTATTTACGTACATGAGTGTACTTGAGAATGCATGTGTGTGAGAGCAATACGTTTGTGAGCATGCATGCAGGTGTCTGAATGTACATGGATTTGTAAGTAGGCCTGTCTCTGTGATGTGTAGGTATGGGTCTAACGTGTGGAGACCTCTGTTGGTTGTTTGTTAGGACAGTCCATGTGTACCTCACATAAGCAGGTAGAAATCGCTGCTCACGTGCATGAGGGTGATGTGTGTTTGTGCTGCCAGCATCTGACTGTGCCTCCTCCCTCCACACAGATATCAACATGGCTGGAGAGCCCAAGCCCAACAGACCTAAGGGGCTAAAGAGAGCAGCATCTGCCATATACAGGTGGGGCGCTCTGTCTTGTCTGTCTTTCTCCATCTGGGTGGGATTGGTCCCTCTTTGCACAGAGGGAGAGAACACTGGTTGGTGAAAGTGTGCCGAGCCTAGAATTTGGGGAGGCGTTTGGAGATGAGGGCCCGTGGAGAGTGGGCTGAGTGGCTGTCCCTAAGCCCTGGCCCTCTCCCCTTTGTTTCCCCAGTGGCTACAGCTTTGACTATGATTACTACCGGGACGACTTCTACGACAGGTGAGCAGGGGAGGGGCGTGCCCAGGCATGAAACAGCCAAGCTGGAAGGGTCCTGAGAGATTGCTGGTGCAGCCTGTTCAGTCCTCCAAGTGGGAACCAGAGCCCAGAGGTGTGGACAGGCATCTGCCCAAGGCTGCTCCACAGATGGGTGGCAGAGCTGGAACTAGGGTCTAGTTCTGCAGGTGCCCAGGTCAGAGCTTCCCCCAACCCACACTGTCTCCTGCTCTCTGACTGCCCTTCCTCCTCCTAGGGTGGGACTCAACGGGACTGGTTAGCAAGGGACATATAAACATAGCAAGTTGGATTACAGAACAGGTTACAGGAGTAGGTACAGGGCGTTTGAGCCCTCACGCTCCTGGTGTTCAGTCTCCTTTCCTATTGGAGGTGCTCAGCCAGGTGGAAGGGACCTCAGAGCTCAGTGTGATCCTCTTAGCCTTTCATTTATAGCCAAGGCCAGCAGTCCTCTGGAGGTCTGAATTAGTCCCTGCTAGGCTATGGCCCACCCTTCATCAGACCCCAGTGTTGAGCTGTGGGCTCCATTCCATGGCACCAGCCACATTCTTGAGTGGAAATCATGATGGGGCTGTTCCAACACACCCCACCTTCCCCCCACCCTCCCCCACCCCTGCTTGGCCTGTGGGAAGGAAGAACTTTAGAACCTCTCTGAGCCTCGGTTATCTCACTTCTGAATGGTTTCAGGAGACAGTGCGGTGTAGTGGAATGTGCCCTAGCCTGGGAGTCAGAAGACCTGGGTGCTAATCTCAGCTCTGCCACTGAGTGGATTGTGTGACTTTGGGCAGATCCCCTCCCAGTCTCTGAAATGGGCTTGCGCCAAGTGATCCCTCAGGGCCCCTCCAGCTCTGGGATTCTGTGGTTCAGTGATTCTGACCAAGGCCAGAGCCGCCCCCTCCCCTTAGGGGCAGAAATGCAGGGTCCGGGACTGGATCCATTCCCAGAGACTCTCCATCTCCAGCCATCACCACGCCAGGGCAGGGGCTCTCTGAACAAAGGAGTGCCAAGCCATGGGGCATTGAACTGCCCAGTGATGGCATGTTTCCTGGCTGTCACCAAAGTGAGCCCATAGTGTACCCCTAAGGCTGCTCTTCCCTGCGGAAAGGTAATAGTAGCAGATGGGGTGTGAGAGACCCCTACTCAGCCTATAAGCTTCTGCCTGATGAGCAGGAAAAGAAGCCCTCTTGGAGAGGGCTGCATGTTGACATTGGGGCCAGTACATAATCTGGGAGCCCAGGGTTCTGATTGAGCTGCCTAACCTTGATAATGCTGCTGATCTCCTTCCCCTCTTAGTGGACTAAGAGGGCTGGGGTAATTAAGGGGGCCCAACCCCTGAAATCATAGGCTCCTGGTTTAGAGTCTCAGTACCCTGGCCTTCCACCTATCACACCTTTTAACATGTGTGTTTTTAACCAAGTTTTCTCATTCTCTGCCCTCACAGCAGCCTTGGGGTGGGGTGGGGGGTTGGCACAGAATTGGGGTAGTCATCATCATGTAGCAGATGGGAAAACTGAGGCTCAGGCCGACTTAGGGATTCCAATCCATTCCCGCATCTTTGTTCCCAGCTGGCAGTTTGCGTTGCTTTAGGGACATTGGCAAACTCCAACCAGAGGTTGGGGTGGCAGTTGACTGAGAAGCCAGGTCAGGTTAATAAGAGCAGATCTAGGGAAGGCTTCTTTCTTGGGCTGGTCTGAGTTTGCTCCTTTCTTGAACTGGGGCTATAACCCACAAAATTACCACCTGCCTTACCCAACCTGGCTGGTAGGAAAGGTGGATGGAATGAGAGTCCCAGAAGCTTTTAAGGTTGGAAAAGCCTTTTCTCTTCACCCCCAGGGCTTGTTGGGAGCAGACAGAGGTGTGTAGTACAGGCTGCCCACCAGCCACATGTTGGTCTAGAGTCACAGTGCCCTCTGGTGGCCACAGGCCATGCTGCAGCCTCTGGCCCATTTGCCCCTACAGGCTCTTCGACTATCGGGGCCGCCTGTCACCTGTGCCAGTGCCCAGGGCAGTCCCTGTGAAGCGACCCCGGGTCACAGTCCCCTTGGTCCGGCGCGTCAAAACCACCATACCTGTCAAGCTCTTTGCCCGCTCTACAGCCATTACCGCCGGCTCAGCCAAGATCAAGTGTGAGTGACTAGATCTTCCTAGATCATTTTTATTTTTCTCATTAGCAAAATAACAGAATCACATATTTTTACATTGAAAAATAGATGAAGGAACAAATCTCCCACAGTTCTGCAGCTCTAACACTACCAAGTGAGTATTTTTATTCATTTCTAAGAGAAAAAGGCTGACCCTTGAGGTGGGGGGGGTTTGGGTTGGACACAGAAATATCCAGTGCTGTGACCTGGAACCCAGTGAGGAGAAGGTGTCATCTTTCCTGTAGTAAGGACAAGGTTGCACAGGCCCACTACTCCACATGCACTCTGGTGTACACATGCTGCAGTCAGGCACCCAGGAAATCTGATGGTAAAACACCCACGTTTATACACCTGAAATCAGGGCATCATCCTATAATATGAGGAAAAACACATATGCTTGCTCAGGTGCACCTGCATTTTTATCCACCTCTAGTCCATTTCAGGAGTTGAGAGGTCAGGGGAAAAGGTCCCAAGTTGAGAAAGGTGGGCTGGTTACTGTAGGCATGGCCTCCAAAGTCTTGGGGGGAAGCCATGGACAGCTCCAGCCTTTTTCATGGCCAAAGAACCACAAATGAGGACAGTTCGGCCACCGGCCTGCCTTTGTAGTTGACAGAATGGGGCTAGGGTCTTACGTTAGTGTCAAGCTCTTAGCCCCTGGGTGACAGCCCTGTACTCCCTTCACTCCCAGTAAAGAGCAGTGAGCTGCAGACCATCAAGACAGAGCTGACACAGATCAAGTCCAACATCGATGCTCTGCTGGGCCGCTTGGAGCAGATTGCCGAGGAGCAGAAGGCCAACCCAGGTCAGCTCCCAGGGGTCCTCACCCAGCTCGGTGAGCAGGGGCACAGGGCAGGGCTAGGGGGTGGGGCGGACAGTGCTCAAGGCAGAGAGGGGCTTAGCTTCTGCTACGGTCACTGCCCTGGGCAGCCTTCTTTATTCCCTTCTTCCCACTCCTTTCCCCTCAAGATGGCAAGAAGAAGGGCGACAGCAGCAGTGGCAGTGGCGGGGGCAGTAGTGGTGGCGGCAGCCGGCCGCCAGCCCCCCAAGAGGACACGGCTTCTGAGGCAGGCACGCCCCAGGGAGAAGCCCAGGCCCGGGACGACGGCGACGAGGAGGGGCTGCTGACGCACAGTGAGGAGGAGCTGGTGAGGGCGCGGCGGGGGGGGGGCGGCTCTGAGCCGCTGGTGGCCCTGCGAGCTCCCTCCTTCCTCTTTCGGAAGAGCAGGGGAGTGCCTCTTTCAGCTGCCAGTCCGAAGTCCCACTGAGGGCTGAGGCAGACCTCTCTTTAGTCCAGGGCCCATTCTAGATTCGGTTTCCACACGGGTTGGGGGAGAGAAGAGTCGGGGGCTCCAGGGAGCACGTGCTGTCTGTAGAGTTACAGGGGGCAGCCACAGGGGGGTTGGGTGTGCACCCTACCCGAGGATTTTCTAAACGCCACTACTGCCTAAGTACACAAGAGGCTGTCTCATGAGGGAGGCACGGAGGGAGCTCTCTGTCTGTTACTGGAACTCTTCAGAGTGCCAGTGGGAAGCCATTGGCAAGGAGCTTATGTTGAGTAGGAAGGTAGACCAGACTCTTGAGTATTTAAGGTAACTGTTGTGTGCTTACTATCCATTTACCTAACAGGCACTCAGTGAGCACCAGGCCCTGTGGTTTCTAACTTCATTTAACCTTAACAACAGCCTTGCACTGTGCAAAGTATTACTCTTCCCGACTTTTACCCAGTGAGGAAACTGTGGCTCAGAGGAGTAGAGTAACTTGCTCAGGGCCTTATAACTGATAGGGGCTGAGCCAGAATTAGAGCCCAGACTTCTTCACCAGGTTTGGAACTTTCTCCTTTTCATCAAAGCTGGGGTTCTGGCATGAGGACAGATGGGCCCGTGGCCACCATACTTATGAGGTCCTCCTCCTCATGCCCCCAGCTCATCTCTCTTTTTTTTGACCCAATTACTTTCTTAGGCATAGTAGTCTCTATAAAGACCCTAACCATGCCCCAAAGATGGGGAGCTCACCAGTCTACTAGGCTTTCAGCCTGCTACAGTCTGAGAAGGTCTTTCTATGCAGAAACGTGTCCCCTGCCACACCTAGAACATCCTTGACTGGTCCCTTCTCTCTTCTGGAGGGCCCCCAGATCATCCTGTCAGGAGCCCAAGCCAGCTGTGTTGAGACTGTTGCCATAATCATTCCCCTTGGCTGTCTATCCCTCTTTTGGAGTTTGGTCTCCAGATGTGCTCTGGGCCCCAGGGATGACTCAGAGTTGGTAGTGAGTGATGTGTGGTTTCTCGTTGCCTCCTCCCTATCAGGAGCACAGCCAGGACACAGACGTGGAGGATGGGGCCTTGCAGTAAGCAGGTACGGGGGTCCAGGTGGACGGGGTGAAGTGAAGCAGACCTGGCAGGGTCATGCTAAGCCCGGCGAGGAAGGCTCCCCCATCCTTAGCCGTTCTGCTGTGCTCCTTTGTGGTGGGAGCTTGGTAGGCTGTGGGAGCAGGAGCCGTGGATGGGCTAGCCAGGCCAGCCCTGCAGGGGTTCCCTCGGCTCACTCCAAGCCATGTTGCCCATCTCCTCCACCCTTGAGGAGCTCTGAGTCTGATGGAAGAAGACACAAACCATTACCAGTGTGAGCCTGATGATGGGCTGGAGAGCCGGGTGGTCAGAGAGGGGTGTGGTGGAAGAGCCGATAATACGTAGTTGAGCCTGTGGAGGGTTGAGGGAGAGGCATCTGAGGGAACAGCTTTAGCCCAGCACAGGGACCTCTGATGGGCGTCAGTATGTGGGAGACGACTAGGAGCCTCCAGTAGTGGTAGTCGCAGCCCTGCGTGGGCAGGGAGTTCATCATCAGAGAGGGATAGTTGTGCCGGGCTTAGGGGCTGGAACCTGATCCTGCCCAGAGGAAACTGTCCCAGCCCTGCAAGGTTGTGATGGTGCCAGCCTAACGGATGTGGGAACTGAGGCACGGCGGCGGGGGCGGTAGCATGTATCTCACCAGTCCCAAGGTGGTAATTGGTGGAGCCTAGGTTTGAGTCCGGTGGTGTTTGGCCTCACAGCCCAGTGTTTACCACCCTGCTCTGCCCCATTCCGTTGGGGGCCATGTTCAGGGTAAGACAGGCTTGGGTGGAGGAAGTCCTCAAAACAGCACACGTGTCTTTACATAAGAGACGTCCATGCTGTGAGCTGTTCTTCCCAGATCTTCCCAGCAAGATCTTCCCAGACAGTTTAGGAAATTCTAGATCTATAGTTTATCCTCCGGGAGCTTCCTGGTTTGTTTTACCAAGGAGGGTAAGTTTGACCTTGTGAAGCCAGTTCACAGATGAGGTGCAGGGCTCAGGTGAGGAAATGGGAGGCTTAGGGAGAGGGAGAGACTCACCAGAGGTTGCATGGCCAGAAAATTAGAAGGCCAGAGCCAGAGTGCAGGCCTGTGTCTGTCTGCAAATGGCAAACACCATTCTCCCCTTTGTCTTCCCAACCCCAGTTATCAAGAGTACCAGGGGCTCTTGCTGTCAGCCTCAGTCTCTCCTTTGTCTCTCTCTTTCTCAGCCTGACAGGAGCGATGGCCACCGGCAGGAGAAGGGCGTGCACTGTACCAGGCCTAAAGCTGGGCACCCGCCCCTGGAGACCACCCCCAGCGGGTCCCAGGAGAGCCGGCCGCAGGCACCTCCTCCCGCACACATCCCAGCCAGTGCCGCATCCTCTGCAGGTGGAGTTACTGGCCACCCCTCCCCTCACGCCCTCCCTGTTGCCACCGCCCAGGCCAGAGGGCAGCGCACAGAGGTTTCCCCACACTCTACCTCCCCTCCCAGGACACTCCCAGGCTTGGGGTTTTTCTATAGGTTTGGAGAGGGGAGGGTCCCAGGGAGGGTACCCTGACAATAAAGAGATTGGATCCCAACTTGCTCTGAGATGGGATGGTTTGTCTTTTCTCAAGGTCCCCGGGCCCTCCTGCTGAGCCAGAGTCTGGTCTGGCCTGTTGCACTCCATTCTTTTTCCTCCCTTGCTCCTCCCAGCCAGGGACCATTGTCCAGGGTGCATAATACTGGTCTGTCTGGGCTTCCACAGCTAAAATGGGGATAAAAATGGCCAATAGGGTTGTTGGGGAGGGTCACATATCCTGGTCCCCAAGAGACTACTTCGGTGGCTAAAGTGTCAAGCAGTTGTGACCCACTTTGGTTAGACAGTGGTAGGTCCAAGTCTCAGCTTCTCACTCAGTCTCCTTTTTCCCAGCTCTGAGATGATTCTAGAATCCACCTCTTCCTCTCTTTCCCTGTCCTAGTTTGGGACACTGTGTTTTTTTTACTTGGGCTTTGTCCTCTCACCAGCCTCACAGTGTCTAGCGTCTCCCTGCCCCATTTCCCACTAGACACCACAGTGCTTTATCGGAGTCATGTCTCTTCCCTGTAAAACCCTTACCTGACTGCTCACCATCAGGACAAAACCCCAACTCCTGTACACGATCCTATATGCCCTGGCCTCTCTCCCTTGTTACCACCTCTCTTTCCTGGCCCACTCAAAACAGGTCCTCCCCCCCGCGGCAAGGAATGGAGTCGCAGTCCATTTGACCTCAGGCAGTAAGAGGTTGGCATCAGAATACCTGTGCCTCCCTCTCCCTGCCTTGGGCCACCTATCTAGGTGTTCGCTCTGTTCTCTGACAACTGGTGACGTTCCTTCAAATTTCCACTTCTGTCCTAACTTCACCCCACAAGTTGAGCGATTTCCCTGTGTTCAAATTTCCAGGAGAAATCACCTGCCACAGCGGATCTTTTTGAGTCACTCGTAGGTTATAAGTACCTTCCCCAGTCCTGTGAACTGGGTGATAAAGGTGTGGCCACCTGGGCTGGTCTCTCTGGTGTGGGGCTTTGTTCCAAAATCTGGCACGTACTCTTCTTGCTCCTACTTTCTCCACCTGAGAAATACCCACTCACCCTTAAGCTGCTGTTCTAGTGTTGGCACCTCTGAGAAGTATCAGCTTACTGCTTTTCAGAAATTGTTCATTCTCTCTCCTAGGCAGCCTTCCCCAAGACAGGAAATTCAGTCCCATCATCACAAAGGGGTTTGGGCTCTCCCTCCATCTTTACATGTTCCTCAGGGTCCCAGGCCTACTAGAATCCTTACTGAAAATCCCAGTTCACACTAGCAGTTCTCCAACATAGCCTCCATCAAACCTCCACTGGGGTTTGGCTCCAGGTTTTGGTGGAGGATAGAGGCTGGGCTTGAGACAGTGCTGAGGCTAGGTTACCCTGAGTATGGAATCACCCAGGGAAGTCTTGGTTGTCTCATGGCTCCCTGCCTGGGCAGCCCTCCTGACTGCCGGCTCGCAGTCTGAAGCCGGAGTGCAGCTCTGCATTCCCAAGCTGTGCCGGGGCCTGACTAGCCAGCCCATTAGGGAACCAGAGTTCTGGACCCACAGCTGGGCCAAATGCCCCCATCCCTGCTGGCCATTGCCTCTTAGTGTGATGTGGAGCAGTGTTTCTGCCTTTTTGGAGGTTTAGCTGCCTAGGGGGATCTCAGTCCCCATATGTGTGCCTGCCGGGGACCTTGGGCAGCAGAGGGAGAGAGGGTAGAGACTGAAGCCATCAGTCTCTGAGAGATTCAGACCCAGGGTGAAAAATAGTCCCTGGGAACTTACTCAACACAAAAGGTTCAGTCTGGAGAGCTAAAGAAGGTGTCCAGTGGAAGGGGCTAGGTCCACTGGGAGTGTCCCACCTCTCCCGAAGAGCCCTCAGTGGAACATACCCCTCTAGTCCCTGAACTCACAGTCTGTCCTTGCTGCTCAGAAGGCCAGAGCCCAGTTCTAGCCGACCCACTTGGATACGTGTACAGGTCTCCATGTCCCTACCTGGTACACCACCCTGGACTGGAACTTGGGCAGAGTGCAAAGAAGGGGTTTTGGACCTTGGTGGAGTTCACACTGAGGGCTGGCACCCGGGTTCCTGTGTCCCAAGAGCCTAGTGCTCTGTGCCCATTGCACTGTAATAACATTTTCAGACTCTACAAGGCCCTTACTCAGTAGTGCTTGAGCGAGGCACTCACTTTTCAGTGCTTGGGGGACAGGTAGAACAGGAGGGGTGTGGGCCTCTGTAGTATGTTAGGCAGAAGAGCAGGGAAGACCCCTTCCAGGGTAGGAAGCATGTGCCCTATGCAGAGGCCCTGTGTAATCACCCTGGCATCAGGATATATCCTAGACAGGTTGAGAATCCCCATCCTGGCAACCCAGAAAAGCTCCTGAACTACTTAGCCCATGGGAAAGCTTGAGTGGGAAATTCACATCCACAAAAACCCTGCACAGACCTGCCCATGTCTGGGTCAGGAAAGACCTCCCCCATTCCATTGCTCATCAGTTTTTGTTATCTATTCAACTTCTGAAAACCAAAAGGAGATGAAGAAATGTGATACCACATTCTGCCCAAAAGGACTTAATATTCCCTATGTGTTTTGAAGATCTGAAGCCTCATTTGTGATCCTGGCAGCTGTCTTGAAGGAATATTACAGCCAGTGGGTTTACTGGATTGTGAGCCAAGGCTTTCCTCCTGTACTGCTGCCCATAAGGTTTGTGACCCTGGGCAAGTCTTGTTCCTTCCTAGGTCTCATTTCCTCATCTGTGTGAGAGGTTGGCCTAGATCAGGGACAGTAAATGGCCTCATATCAGTTATTAACTTGTATAACCCACTCCAAAATTTTTAGTACCTTTAATAAACATTTATAAGCTTCTGACTGGAGTGGCCTGGCAATTTGGGCTATGCTCAGCTGGGCAGTTCTGCTTCTCTCATCTGGGCTTTGATGTGGCTGAAGTGAGCTGGCAGATTGGCTGAGGGCCCGTGGGTCCCAGATAACCTTACCCACTTCTCAAGTGGTTGGCGGGGCAACTGGGCCATATGTTCCCAGCATCTAGCAGGCAAGACCAGGTAAGCCCCGAGATGCAAGTGCTCTTCAGGTTCCTGCTTGTGTCATGTTTGTCAGCTTCTGTTGGCCAAAGCAAGTCACACGGCTAAGTCCGAACTCCTCTTAATTTGAGGAGCTTCAGCATAGGGCCACGATTTGTTTTTAATCCCTCTCAGGCCTTATTTCATTTGCCATTCAGAATGTTTAGTAGCAGCTGCTGGAGTGCTTTTTGAGGATTTGGGAGTTTTTAATAGTTTTTAGATTCTTAAAGAAATAGTGACATGGTAATTTGATCATTTTTGTTTATGGGTGAGGAGTTGAAAATGTGGGTATGTGAGTGCCCAATATTAACCAACACTGGCCAGGTCATCTCTTGTCCCATCAGGACGTTATCTACTTTACAGTGGACCATCTGGTGAGAACACAGAAATATGAAAGGTAGAGCGGGCAGAAGATTCTGATCAGGCATCCCGGGCTTGAGTTCCAGTTGGGCCACTGATTAAACTTTAGGCAAATACAAATCCTTACAGCTGTGGCCACATAAAAGTAAACCAGTAAAGGCACGTTTTGTATTTATTTAATCTCTGCAACCACCTTTTAGGTGTATGTAATACAAACTTTTGGTTACAAGTTGTAGAAACTGAACTCCTATGTGCTTAAGCAGGAGAAAGTTTATTGCTGCGCATATTTAAAGGTCCAGGGATAATCCTTCAGACCCAGTAGGACCCAGGGGTTCAGGAGTCGTCATCAGGCATCTTCTTCCCTATTCCTCAGCTTTGCTTCCTCTGTGGGCCTTGTTCTCAGACAGGTCCTCAGTGGTGGCAGAGCATGGCCCCAGGGCCTGAGTGTGGAGGGGAAGGGGAGAATCTCCAGAAGGAAAACAGGAGTTCTGTTGCTAGAAGAAGGGAGGTTTGGGCTGACAAAAACAACAGGTCTTCATCGTGTAGTTGTGCCCATTTTGTAGATTTTATAGATGTGAAGGTTCTAAAAACTTGGCCCTGTTGATGGCTGGTATCTATACCCTCTCCCCTTTATCTGGATTCCGGCTGTTTGATCAGCAGAATACAGTGATGGTGATGCTGTGCCAGTCTCACAGTTCTGTTCTCAAGAACTAGCAGTTTCCACTTCTGTGTCTTGAGACCCAGCTACCATGCTGTGAAGAAGCCCAGACCACATGGCAAGGCCTGACAGCCAGCATCCGCTGTCAAGACAGGAGTGAGGAAGCCTTCAAGATGAGTCCCGCCCAGCCACTGACCTGAGAACCAAGTAAGAACTGCCTAGCTGACCCCAGTCAAAGCCCAGCACCATGAGGGAGAATAATCAGTGATTGTCATCTTTTTAAGGTACCCAGTTTTGGACTGATTTGTTCTCTATCAGTAGATAATCAGAACACAAACTGAGGCTCAAAGAGGTTAAGGAGTTTGCTCTACCTTAGGGGGACTGGGTTAAGAATATAGATTTTGTGTTGAACTGAGTTCCAATCCAGATTATTTGTTGTGTGACTTTAGGCAAGTCAGTTAACCTCTCTGAGCCTTCATCTTCTGAAAAGCAGAAGAGAGCACATTGTTGTTATGACAATACTTAATAAATTTTAAGTTCATTTATTATTACCTAATCCGGATTCAGGTGATTTTCTCTTAAAAAAAAAAAAAAAGACTATAATTTTCTTTCCTCTTTTTTTCCCCTAACTCGCTTTATATTCACTTTGTTTCAAAATGTATTTCAGGCAGCTTACAGAGAGAAAGTCAATAGAGTATTATAAAAGAGTATAAAAAGGGGGTGCCTGGGTGGCTCAGTCGTTGAGCGTCTGCCTTCGGCTCGGGTCATGATCCCAGAGTCCTGGGATCGAGCCCCGCCATCAGGCTCCCTGCTCAGCGGGAAGCCTGCTTCTCCCTCTCTCTCTGCCCCTGCTTGTGTTCCCTCTCTCAATGTCTCTCTCTCTCTCTCTCTCTCTCAAAAAAAAAAAAAATAAAAAAAAAAAAAAAGTATAAAAAGAAGGCAAAGGAAAATATT